TCGGCAGGATCTACTTTTCTTCACAGAGATCTAAATCTGCTCACATAGGCATCAACACTGTCTGTTCCTTGCTTGATGTCAAATAACTGTTTTTGCCAAATTGCTTTTTGCTTCGCAGTGCTAAAACGAGCTTTAAACAAATGCTTGAAACTTCAGGCTTGTCCAGCATCATTATTGTAAGCATTAGGCTGAGGATTCAAACTACGATACCAGTCTAGAGCAATACCTTTCATGTATACTGGTGCAAGTTCTAGTCGATGAGCATTATTTCAATAATTTGCTTTACAAGCTCTTTGAAATTCTTGGAGCCAGCTGAGTGGGTCCTGGGTTCCATTACCAAGAAAGGGCTCTACTGTGATTAATGATTGTTCAGGAGCAGTTCCTAAAGCAGTAGCCAGAGCAGTCATAGCAGTAACAGCATCTCATAATGCTTGGTTACCTATATTGGCAAGAGGATTAGGAGGATTAAGAGGTGGTGGTAGAGGTAAAGGTATAACAAGAGGTTAATATATAAGAGGTGGAGATGGTGAAGCAACAGGAGGTTGAACAGGGGCAGTATAGAAAAAGTTATCTAGGTCAATATTTAATTCATGGTTTGGGTCTGATTCTTCATCACTAGAATTCCTAGATTCAAGAATATTTTCTTGGTCAAGATGAATAATCCAAGAGGGAGTATCATTAGTTTCTGGTGGGGTTTGGTGAGTAACTTCTTCACTATATGGAGGAAGGCTATCTTCTGGTTCGTAGAAGTGATGAGTATCTTCTGGTAAGGCAGTTATGCGAACACTGTTGTCTGCAGAGGTGGCTTGCAAGATAGGGCTTCCTAAATTTCCAAAGAATTGACTAAAGTTTCCTGGTTCTTCAAAACTAAAGGTTTGAGGTTCATCAAGATAATAGTCAAAGATGTTTTGGTATTGGAAGGTAAGGTAGGGAGTTGGAGGAGAGGAGTATGTCATTGAAGAAGTGTAAGGGCTATGTTTCGGGGGTTGAGAAGTGCAGTTGTATAGCGACAACTAAAAATAATATTCCGGATTGCTATACGAGTATTAGTATAATTGGTAGTACTGGTAAGTACAGCAAAAGCATCTTGGGTCCTTTGAGAATAAAGCAAGGCTGAGTAGCGAAAGTTGTAAAAGGTCCAAAATCTTTCAAAAGATATATGAGGACTTGTTCGATGAGGGTAATAGCAATCAGTACAAGAAAGGTCTGGGTAGCCTAATTGCAGTACATCTAAAGCTAAATGTCCTAAGTCTAAATGTGCTTGCTGATGGTTACGAATATATTCCTGATGTAACTCATCAGCAGTTTGTATCATATGCTAAGAAGAGAGTTGCTAGTATAGCAATTGTCTAAGGTCTACTAAGAAGAGGAAAATGGCTCGCGTGCTGGAGACAGATGTCCAGAGATTTCAACAAAAGTATGGCTCATGTGCTGGAGACAGATGTTCAGAAAATTTAAAAATACGGCTCACATGCTAGAAACAGATGTCCAGAGAATTTAAAAATACGGCTCACATGCTAGAAACAGATGTCCAGAGAATTTTTTAAAAATATGACTCACGTGCTGAAGACAGATGTTCAGAAATTACCGAAGAAGAGAGGTAGAGGAGAGGTGCAGAGGGATGTAATTATATTTCCACCAGAAGGCACCAAATATTACAGTACCATGGTCTTTTTAACAGCAGTACTATAACAATGACATGGCTACAAGGTTTATAGCGGTGTCCAAGAGGTAAGTATAATTCCTTAGTCTGTAAGAAACTATACCCTTCTCTCTAAGGCAGTT